TGTCTGTCTGTCTGTCTGTCTGTCTGTCTGTCTGTCTGTCTGTCTGTCTGTCTGTCTGTCTGTCTGTCTGTCTGTCTGTCTGTCTGTCTGTCTGTCTGTCTGTCTGTCTGTCTGTCTGTGCGTTTAATTTCCCACCTTCGCGTCAAGTCCAGTCCAGTATTTGGAGCAACCTCTGCAAACATAACACTTATTGATAGCATTAACCGTAAAAATGCGCTCAATTATTAACTGCAGATTTGATGGTTCTTGCTCGGATGCAGCATTGATAACCGTCCGCCGTTTCTTGATTGTGACCTTTGGGCAAAGAGCACAAATGTGCAAAGGCTCGCCTGTAGAAAATGTGACGAGTTTAAGTTTCTCAAAAACAGTCAACTAATTTATTGATTCCCTTAAATTAATATATTTCTACTGACAGGTAATTCGTCATATTGATTTGTTCAATAAGGTGCTAAAAGCAGTAACTAACATACAACATGGTTAACTTCTTACGGAACAATCTTAAATTACCTTTATCACTGAACCCCAGCTCTAGAAACGCCTCTAGTAGGAAATTCCGTACTTTACAATTATCGAAGCCGACAAACTTAGCTTGTACACGGTCAAAGTCAAAGTTACTATCTGCATTATCACCTGTAAAAGATGTATTATAACACGAGAGAAATATGATATAATTGAATTCTACTAACGTGTGAAATTCTATTGTCATGACCATAAAATTTCGCTTTCATACATCTTGGTTATTGACATTATATATAGGGTATATACGTAACGCATTTAAAAATATATAATATCTGTAAAGATATTTATATCATAATATGTGAGATTACCGAAGCATTCGCTGTGTTTTTCCCACACATTTTTAATAGTAAGAAAACGATTCGCAGTATCCAAATCTCGCCATTTATCATGAATTTGGCTGTCATCTATCTTCGTGCGTACGTTTTCGAACAACTTTTCAAGAATATTCATACGGGTGTAAGGCTGTCAGAATGATGGTGTTTTTATAAAAGCCACAAAATCTTTAAAAACAGCTGTTTTAAACCAGAAACTTCACAAAATAATTAAAAACTAGGGAAGGTTTTCTTCCCGGGGTTTGGAATTGTTAAAATTTGCCAGTAAAAGGGGAAAAATCGGCATGAAATATACCCCTTTTTAGACTACGGCTGTCAGAATGAAGTTTTGTATTTTGAGGCCTACATTACAACAAAAAAACTTTTTGGTTTATTGGACTTGAAGGCAGTTAGGTAAATTATACATCAATAGCACCTCTGTTGTCAACTAAATCACTTTTCTTGGGGAATTATACAACATAGAAGGAAGACTGCGGCTGTCAGAATGGAGTTTTCCAAAACAAAGTTGTCCCCATTTTTCCATCATGGCTCTAGGAATATTTTTAGACCCTCTATCATTATTAACACATATCTGCAGCATTATTCTACCCAAATCAAACATTCCTGGCATTTTGGTATAAGTCAATAATCGCAATTTAGAAACCTTCATTCTGATATACTGACTATCTACGGGTGTACGGTTATCAGAATGATGATTGATGCGGCTGTCAGAATGAAGTTTTTATCAAAGATCAAATTACTTTGTTAGAAACTTGATTTTGGGCATATCAAACAGGTTTGCATATACTAAAAACACAAATAAACACATTCTTTTATGTATCGGTTGTTTCTGATGTTTTTGATCAACTTTTTTTGAATGCAGAATATCATCATTCTGACAGCCGCCATACCATCATTCTGACAGCCGTTTGAATTTCCTGTTTTGATTTGTTAACACATGTTTATTGAGGGTTTTTTTAGGGTATGAATGCATTCTTTTAGAGTTGTTTGATACACCAGTACCAGGTCTTATAGGGATAACTTTAACAACATGATCACAAAACTGCCTCATATATATGCAATTTGAAATTGTGTTTCCAAATATTTCAGTAATAAATCATTTTTAGCCTTTCTTTCAGTGATGGAAGTGTTTATTTGTGTTTTTAGTATATGCAAACCTGTTTAATATGCCCAAAATCAAGTTTCTAACAAAGTAATTTGATCTTTGATAAAAACTTCATTCTGACAGCCGCATCATTCTGACAGCCTTACACCCGTATCAGATATGAATATTAGTTGAAGATATGATATTCAACTTTTCGTATCCCAGATCTATGTCATTTTTTGACTGAAGAGCGAACAATAGGAAAGTTGGTTAATTAGTTTTGATAAATCATACTTAACATTGTACTGTATATTATAGAGCGCATTGGAGAAACATTCAAGGGGCAATTTACCCAATTTACTTAGAATGCCTTATAGGGTTGCCATTATCGGTACAATTCTTTTTATCGCGATAATCGATAATTTTTTCGAAATTATCGCGATAATATCGGTTATCGGCGATAAATTTGGCAAGATAATTGAAGTTATATTTGTCTGCACTCTGCATACTTATTATGCTCCTATGCTATGTAACCTTGTAATATCATCATTATATAGCAACAAAATGGCATGAAATGTAAAAAATCAACAATCAGCAAATCTAACGAAGATTCATTCAAGTTACAACATAGTTTATTCAAAAATGTCTGCTGGCGTGGTACGACATATAATGAACGGCGTATTTCTTAGATAGAGTCAGTTTCCTGCCTGTTAGTTGTGAATAGGTCGATCTCCCGAGCAAGGGTATCTATCCTTGGTACCGAGTTTTCGAATGGCCTGTAAGTCCTGATAACCAGTCGTCGTTTGTCTCTTACTATTTGAACAACCGCTGGTGCAGAGACTTTAAGTTACTTCGTGATAATTCTAGAACGTTACCAGCGATACGAAGTTATAAGGTTCTTTCTTTTAACATATCGTGTACGTAGACTATAAACTTCAAGAAAAGATCGAGAAAGTAGCGATTCTATCTTTCCAGCTATCAATAAATTGAAAAATCACTTCTGCTCGAGCGAGATTTGTCTCTTTTACACAGAACTGATAATGTCTTTAACTAACTCAGTCTTTTCAGCATCCAGTTTTAGATTACCAAGCTCCAAGTCAACCAAAACGTCGTTCACTGCATTGCAGTTATTACTCCAACATACTGCACAGTGAGCTCCAACGGTTTTTGCTGTCTTGTTGTAGTCTGAGTTCCTTTCTGTGCTTCAACAAACAACAATAACTACGTCTGAGCATACAACCTTCAAATTCAATCCACCTACTTACTTAGATGCGACAGTGCAACATTTAAATTTTCATTGCCACAAATTCATACACAATACACACTACACAGCACGTCAGCATACCATTACACTGTAAATTATGCTAGCACTAGGGTTTTACTCTACAAACAAAAAAACAAACTTGAAAATCTGTGCCATTTTCCCCTAATAAAAGGTGGTCGATTATCGCGATAAGTCTCGAAAATTATCGCGATAATCGATAACGATTTTTGGAGAATTATCGCCGATAATTATCGGCCGATAATATCGGCTGGCAACCCTAATGCCTTATAAAATCTAGGATTTTCAGACCACCCCTCGGCCTCCCTGGATTTTAAAATCCGTCCTCTCCTCTGCACCGGACGTTTGGACTGATCAACATCTTTAATAATACTAATCTAAACTATGTATTCTGTGTAAAATTATATTTATCCCGTTTAATGCGACAATGAAAAATACTCTTATTAGGGAAAAGAAGTTTACTCGACGTTTCAATGTAACTACATCGTATTCATGATCTCAAATTATTTGTTATATAGTAGTGTTGAAAGTATTAAATACCTTCAACACTACTATACATTACTATTCAATCAATAAACCAATACTAATGACTGGAAAGCCACGCTACACTGTTCTTGGGAGCGGTAATTTTATAACCTTACCGTGAATTGCTACTAGAAGAACTCATTGTAGTGGGGCAGTCGATCACCAAAGAGCAGTGCGTCACGTGATACCACATGGCAACCCACGTGGTATCTCGTGGCGCAATCTCAACTACAAATACCTTTAAACTCATGCACCCGCCTTACTCCGCAAACCATCCAAATCTATTACTACCACTTAAACTTACACTCCAATCTAACGGTTTTTTACACTCAAACTAGAATATTCTTAGTGATCGATAATTACGATTAAACCCTGCTAGCTGTAGTGTGAGACCAGACCTATTTTGCAATTGAGTTCGTGTCCCACACTCTCTCTCTCTCTCTCTCTCTCTCTCTCTCTCCCTCTCTGTTCTGGTCAACGGTTTCTGGCCTCCTACTTAAAGAGGGAGGTCTTGTCACCGTGCCCATAGAATGCAACTCCTGCTAGCTACATGCCAGGACTCTCAAAGTATATGCGAAATCATAAAATAATATAAATATCAACGCAACAGACCTCTGCAGTCTTGAAGCTGTCACTACCTGTCTCAGAGCAAACCCACTTCCATTGTAGTAGTTCAGTGGGCAGACAAGGGACTTCCGAGCAATGTCATCTCCTGGAATTAGTGCTTCTATTAATTTATATCCTGGGATAGGTTATTTTCTGATGTTAAATCCTTGAAGGTTACCCAAAGGGAGCTTCCTTTTCTAATCTTTTTGACTGTTTGTTCCACAAATTTTATGATGTGGTTGATTTTGCTGTTGATAATTTCCTCCATTGTGAGAAGAGGTTTACCAAATATCCTCATTCTGATAGTCATCAGCAATATAGGGAATTGCTAGGGGTTACGTAGGGCATAAATAAGCATAAATAAGTTACACGCCTTTCTGTGTGACTTCAATCTCAAATCTTATCTCAGGTGTATCTCGATTCATGGTTATCGTATGCTAACCATGAACCATAATCATTATTTGCAATCTGTCTTGCAATCTGTCTTAAAATAGCCCCTCAGCTCTACTCGTTTTAGGTTTCCTATGTTTGCCAGTACCGTAAACTGTATTAGATATTCTTAAATTAGTAATTTAGTCTGTTACGTTTTGTAACAGAAACATTTACATTGTATTAAATTGTATTTTTAACTACATTAAATGTACTTTTTCAGGAACTAGTCAAAGTGAGCCCTGTAGCGACGAACCTGTTTCTTCGGATAGCGAAGTGTAATGTCGAGTACTTCATCTGAGAATGGTTTCCCGTTTTATAAAGAAAATGTTACCTTTGAAGCGGTCTCGAACTTCCTACTCTCCCTCCTCTCGTCAGCTAGACAGTGTCCTATTATTTCTCTTGTGTTAATTTTGTGATAAATTCTTTCATGAGACCATCTCAGTTTTTGTCTTTCTTAGTAGTAGACGCCACCGAGAATGAAGACTATTTAGTAGCGGGGTAATGAATTTTTGTCTCATATAAATATAAGTAACATAGTAGTAGATATTTGTTTATTGATATAATTTGATCGTGAATTTTGATTGTTTGTATTATTATACCACAATCCTTTTATTTTATTCGTTTAATAGTGAAAACCACAAAATTAAAATGAACATGAGGCATTTATCATAGCCTCCGATTAAAATATTCGATCATCACACCACGTACGTCACCTGAGCTATAGGGCCTGTCGTGATATTTGAATCGCTTATGGCGGCCTCTATATCTATGTATGTATGTATATCGTCATCTCGCACACCTCTTTACGAATCTTCTGAATTTGGCATGTACAAATTTGTAGCCTTCCAGACATTGATAGCGTAAACGAGGTGTCGTACGTAACCTCAAGATCGGGTGACAAGGGGCTGACCATACCCGAACCTAATTGATTGGGTCTGAGGTCACGTGACTATGACTTCACCAGACCTTGTCCTCCGTTTCCCGCTCATTGGACCAAAGCTTGCATGCTTGTGAATGTAGGTGTAAGCACAGCTGTACTGTAGTTTAAACCTAATTAACCCCTATACACTATAGAAAACCGAAAATTTATTTCTGGCAGAAAGCTAGAAATTTACCAAATTTATTGACATTGTTATAGCATATAGCCCTTGTGTCAGCCCTACTGAAAAGACCTGAAAAGTGGTTACTGGAGGGACAAGACTATCTGCGCCCTGCTAAAAAGACCTTAAAAGTGGTTACTGGAGGGACAGGACTATCTGCGCTACATAGACACTGTTGTCAGCACTGCGCGCGCGCGCACGAACCTTCCCATCGGTGTTCGTGGATAGGTGCTTTTCTTGACTTGTGAAACAAGCGCGCCCGCAGCGGCGCGAAAGCACATGGTTAGGTGAAGATAAACCCCAATCCCAACCCAGAAACCCTTACTGGATGGGGCCTAACTTTGAAAGTAAAAGAGTTAGAGACTTGTAACATATTCGTTTTGTAAAAGTAACGTTACCTCCCCAGGAGGAAAATTTAAAACAACGTCGCGTAGTTATTGAGTTGTTGAGTTATCTCAAAATCTCCAGAAAAGTCCCATTTCGGGCCGATCAAAAGTTTGCAACTTTAACTTTGCGGATTCCTGTACTCCGATTGGCTGAATTGTGTCACGTGGTAGCTGCTTGAACATTGGACACAGGAGGAGCAAAGTGCAAGGAAACTGCCACAAACTGCTACTAGGGGGTGCACCATAAAAATAAACTTGCTCGGATTTAAAAAATTTGTGTACCATTGTTTTCTAGAGACTGTGAGAATTTTCACAGTACCAAATTTGTCATACCTTTTTGGAAAGATCAGTGAGTTTCGTCTATGATTTTATAATAGCTTTACATTTTACAATTCATGAATCCAACTTATCTAGTTCAACAAGATACGTCTTTAGAAATAATCATCAAATATGTCGTCAAAAAGTTAAAAAATACGTCAAATCTCCGGATCTGATCAAATTCTATTTGTCTAATTCCTCAAATTCCTAACTTTTTACCGTCAAGAAGTAAACATATTATCTGTAATTTTGTATCTTCTCACCGTACTAACACCGTCGTAAGAATGGAGAGACGGAGAGTGGATCTTGCGGAGAATAGGCATTAACTTAAATAGTTTTGATTGATTGATTGAGGAGCACTACCCGAAGGCATTACTCGGCACTAACGCCTTTAAATCTTTAATTACAATCAAATATAAATATATGCACACAATGTATAAAGTATTAATAATGTATAAAATATGATTATGCTATTAGCAAATTTAAATAGTACTATTAAGAATTTTAAATAACTCTTATCTCTTGACAAAAATTTAGAACAGCGACACAGGGTCTGAAGAATGCGCGGTGATATTTTTATCTTTTAAAAGTTGTAAATGACAGTGAAATTGGGCGGTGTCGATAGCATTGTAAAAAATGCTCGAAGATAGTCATATTTTGTTATGAGGTTAAAGTTTTGTTGCTCGTTATTATGATCAACGTATGTTGTACCAAATTATTTAAATTTCTAAAAGTACGAAATTTGAGTTGTCCCAGTCCTTGTCATCCGGTTTATGTGCTTGTGCAGTAAGCACATGCTTGTTGACTGTAGACTTGAATGAATTTAGGAATTTGTCTTGTAGGCAAGTGGTGACATATTTGATGTCCTTGTTAATAATGTTGACTGTTTGGTTATATAACTTAGGCCCAATGTAAGAAATGCTCTTGTCTGAATTACATAAACGGTTAAATGGTACTGCAAAGAACTCAGGTTCTCTTCTGGATGATAATTAATCACTCTACACTCGACTGTCACGTGACTTTTTCAACCCGTTCTCTAGCTGGTCCTGAACGACTATTCGAAACCCTAACCCTCTTATTTGATCCCAACCCTAACCCTAACCCAATCCTTAACAAAAGCATAAGCTGAAACCCTAACCCTAACGAGAAATTAGAATAACTTCCTTATACGGCCATATCACGTGATCGATACAGTTTTTCGCCTATATCTCGTCAGGGGAGCATTTTAACCCTATATCATGGGGGGTGATTCGGAATCAGCGTCCGAAAATACATCGATTAAAGTTGGTTTCAACTGTCGGGGGCCCTTTTAGAACAATCTCGAAGATCGACTGTAGAGTGATTTAGTACGCTCGGAACATGATTGCAGATCCTATCATGAAGCCTCTCCAGCCGTAGATATCGACAACAAAATACGCCAATGCGATTGACACTGACAGTGAATCACCAATTCCAACAGCTAGAGCAAAATAAGATACACAAAATCCTTTCATTCTGATAGTCAATATTTCTGCTGCACTGAAATGAATTCCAATAAAACTGTCGGACTGTTGGAATAAAATAAACTTTGTAACAATTGGTTGACGAGATGGAAGATCCAAAATAACTTTATTCTGCGAGCGTACTAAATCACTCTACAGTCGATCTTCGAGATTGAATAAGAGGGTTAGGGTTTCGAATAGTCGTTCAGGACCAGCTAGAGAACGGGTTGAAAAAGTCACGTGACAGTCGAGTGTAGAGTGATTAATTATCATCCATCATTTTCTCTCCATCGATATTATTTTTGGCCATCATGATGGGAGGGTCTCCGAGATTTGATACTAAGAAGGGCAACCGGGACAAAGCGGAAAGTACATAACAGTACAAACCATCGCCAAGTTCAACTGAAGCCCCGCCATTTAATTGAAAAGGCGAGATAATGTTGATGGCGATGAAACCAATAAAAATGGAATCGGATTTTATGGTGCCTTATTAAACTTTATCAAGGCAACTGGACGTTCAAACTAGATTTAGTCATTCTATTCTAGGAGCAGAATATTTCCCAACAGAAGTATAATCATTTGTACTATCGATCGGGTTGGTATTTCAAAGAATAGGGGCTTGTGTTAGTATTGCATGCTCACAGTATGTTTCCAATATCATCCCAAGATTTGTACTAGCATTGACTAAAATTGCGGCTGCCGTCGTCAGTATTTGTCTAGTGCATGTCTGTGTCGTGTTGTGTGTATATATGTACAGGGAAAGGAAACAGCAGGAGCTCACATCGTGTAGGTTATCGAGGCCATTACCGAAATCTCTTTTTGGACGTTTTTTTCAATTGTAGTATACGATATTTCAATTGATTTTTTATACGGTAAGCAAAAAAAGCGATTGTTAAGCATTAATAATTGTGATTAATGATATAATTTAGTCTGACGATAGAAATTAAAATTTACTGAGATTAAAAAGTAGACATATCCTCGACAATAAGTTCGTAGTGCAATAATTTTGGGAAACAAATTTCAACGGACTTTGACTTTTAGGGACATTAATCCGTTCAAATAAGATCCGATAAGGTACATATAATTTAGTTAAATTAAAATGATGACACAGTTGATGTTATTTATAAAATAATTTAAACATTTTTTCCAAAAATATAGACATTTATTTCAACTCTTCTAGACATAGTCTCCATGATTTTGAAATTGTGGGGTTTGCTGGGTTCATGCACGATACATTTTAAGCTTAAACCAGTTCACTGTTCATTTGTCCATTGAAAACACGTTGATTAGCATTAACTGTACTAATTATGAATCATGATGCTAATTATGCGTTGACGGGGCATTTATCAGCTCCACCACAGATAGTTGCAAGTTTCATTTCCTCAGAAGCGTAGGCAAACGAGCCCTTGCAGCTCATTCCGGTAAAAGAGAAGCTTTTCACGTCTCCGTATACCTCCGCACATTGTCTTGTCAGCTTCGAGGTGAACAAGATCTCACCCTCAACACTAAGCTCAACAACCCCATCGTTGATGGCAAAGCTCCAGCCAACAGTTCCCACAGGAAGTCCCTTAACCTTGTCCCGTATTCCTTCAGGTGTCTGACAGCGGAAACAGCCGGACATGGAGATCCTTTTCAAACTCCACTCGAACTGTCCGATTGAATCTCCATCACTATTATACATGACGATGGTCTTGACTTTTCTATTGTGGAGAAAGGAGCGTACTCCAATACCTTTAGAGCTGGCGAGCCCACCAGTCAGCTTGACAGAGCATTCTGGGTTTGAACAGAAACCACATTCTGGAGTCCAGCAGTCGCAGGTCTTCTTACCATCCGGGACTACTGGAACTGGGTCTACTAGGACTACTGGGACTACTGGCTCTGGGTCTACTGGGACAACTGGCTCTGGGTCTTCTGGGACTACTGGCTCTGGGTCTACTGGGACTACTGGCTCTGGATCTACTGGGACTACTGGCTCTGGGTCTACTGGGACAACTGGCTCCGGGTCTACTGGAACTACTGGCTCCGGGTCTTCAGGGACTACTGGCTCTGGGTCTACTGGGACAACTGGCTCCGGGTCTACTGGGACAACTGGCTCCGGGTCTACTGGGACAACTGGCTCTGGGTCCATTGGGACAACTGGCTCCGGGTCTACTGGAACTACTGGCTCCGGGTCTACTGGGACTACTGGCTCTGGGTCTTCTGGGACTACTGGCTCTGGGTCTTCTGGGACTACTGGCTCTGGGTCTACTGGGACTACTGGCTCTGGATCTACTGGGACTACTGGCTCTGGGTCTACTGGGACTACTGGCTCTAGATCTACTGGAACTACTGGCTCTGGGTCTTCTGGGACTACTGGCTCTGGATCTACAGGAAATACTGGCTCTGGATCTTCTGGGACAACTGGCTCCGGGTCTACTGGAACAACTGGCTCCGGGTCTACTGGAACTACTGGCTCTGGATCAACTGGAACTACTGGCTCTGGATCTTCTGGGACTACTGGCTCTGGGTCTACTGGGACTACTGGCTCTGGATCAACTGGAACTACTGGCTCTGGATCAACTGAGACTACTGGGACTGGGTCTACTGGGACAACTGGCTCTGGGTCTACTGGGACAACTGGCTCTGGGTCTACTGGGACAACTGGCTCTGGATCTACTGGAACTACTGGCTCTGGGTCTTCTGGCTCTGGTGGCCCCCTTCGGCTTTCTTGATCCGTCACTTCTTTAACTCTTTCACCCTTTTCTAAAAAATGATATTCTCATAACTTTTCTTTAATTTAATATAAAGTTCCCAAATCTGTCAAAGAGAATAAAGGGCAATGTTATTAAAAAGTTAAAACAACGTTGGAGTTTACTAATGCATTTACAAAAAGCTCGTAGTGATTAGTGGTTGATAAACATTAAATACTGGGTAAAAGTACTTCCTTATATACAATGTTAAAATTTCTTAATAAGTTAATAGTCTTAATAAACTCTGACTTAAACTTAATATTCTCATGATAAATGTGCTACTTACCAATTGTTTGTTTCCCTTTTCCTTTTCGGCGCTCAATATCTGATTTTCCTCCTCCTTTTTCCTCTGAATTAAAAATACATTCAAATCAGAGAAACTGACTTAAATTCGCTTTTTATCTTTGTTGCAATTCGTAAATCAAATCTCAATATTTCCATACTTCAAATATTTCAAATTTCAATAATGATTCTACGAACCTGCGCATTCTTCCTCGGACTCATCTGACCCGTCGGTGCACTCTGCTTTACCATTACAGAAGAGTTTCTTAGGAACGCATTGTATACCGTCCGCACACTTCTTTTTGGCTGCCGGACACTCGTAGGCTGGTAAAGTGATTATTCATTATTTATTATTTATTATTTATTATTTATTATTTATTATTTATTATTGATTTATAATTCATAATTCTAAATTTATATAGCTTAATATTGTTGAAATAGTCCGCTTACCAGGACAGAAGGCAGGATCTTCATCCGACCCGTCGAGACATTGGATGCTACCGTCACACATTGTCCCTTTAGCGATACACTGGTTACCAGTGGCGCACTTTTTCGTGCCGATCCCGCATACACCCGATCCCGAAACTAGTTTGAACATAATAAATATGTTATATAATATATTTGTTATATTGGAGAAACGCAGTGCTGAACTAACTTGAACCTATGAAATCTGCCGTTTGATTGCGGAGCGTAAATATGGCAAATTAAAAATATTGTTAATATAACTAAGTTTAGTATGGAAAAGTACTTTTTTCACTTGGTTAAATATTATGTTCAATATTATGTCAAATATCTATTATACTAAGTGCTAACCATAGCAAATGTCGCGGCTCTCATCGGATCCGTCAGCACATTGCGTGCTACCATCGCACTTTCTCTGTAAGGAGGCACATCCATTTCCGTCAGCACATACCATTTCGCTTTCTTTACAAGTGCAGCCCACGTCATCGGACTTATCGTTACAGTGAGGAATTTTAAATTTATCACATTTTCCAGATGAAGGAAAACACTGGATTCCGTCCGCACACTTTTGCTGTTCAACGGGGCATTCAAAACCTGGTTGGGGTTTAAGTTACTGTATAGTACTTTTGTAGTACTATTTATGAATAAATCCTAACCATTCAACACATAAAAACTATATTGAGGAATAACTCTGCATACTTGTGCAAAACTCCGCTGATTCATCAAAGCCATTTGAACACGCAGGACCTCCATTACACAGACCACTGTTGGGAACACATTCGTCAATATCGCCACACTTTGTTTGTCCCTCCGGACATACGTACCCTGAAATTGTTGTTTTTGAAAATTATTCACTTTTGAATCGAATAGCTGATCGTTTTTATACGCAGTGAGTAGTGACTACGTTATCGGACCTTATTTGGACGGACATTACTTGAACGCTGGAGGCCCTACCGTTCATCTTAATGTCCGTTCAAATAAAGTCCGTTCAATTAATGTCCGTCCAAGTTAAATTCCGTTAAAATTTTTTAGAAAATTTTTCCATTTCGAACTTTTGTCCAGAATATGACAACTTTGAGAACTTGATTGTGCCGTAAGTTAACGATGGAAAGGTTCTCCTTGGTCTGCCGGAGGCACAGAAAATTCTACTAGTTTATGATGTTTTCAAGGGTCACTTGGCGGAAAAAAGTCAACGAAATTATGGCACTCAAGCAGCTTAAGATTCGAAGTACCCTTTTAGGGATGGTTCGCTTTTATTTGAATATTGGATAAGTGTCAAAGTGTGTGCGGGTGGTGTTCACATACAATAGTTGCATTTCATTCACAGGAATTCCTTTCGAGCATCTGTGATGGGACCTCATAAACGTATAGTAATACCAATTATTGTACAAATACTAAACTTTGCTTGTTGACGTCAGTATTTCAGTCTATGTTTATTCGCACACATTATTGCATTTCTAAGATTAACATAAATTTCAGGATGAACCCCTTCGGTCCCTCCAATTTTTAGGAAACAACAACTTACTCCATGTGCAGTCACTTTCTTGTGTTCCTGATCCAGAGGCTACCTCTTTGTCAGCTGGACATGCCGTGCAGGTAGAAGCTGCGTTTGCTGCTAAACTCCATTGATCTGCCGGACAGGCTTGACAGCCACTTGACTGATCCAGATACTGGCCCGCAACACAATCTTCTGCAAGTATAGTCGAGTTTAGTCAAGTATTTATAGAACTGCAAGTTTCAGCCGCTGGCAAGCAGCTTAAGATTCGAAGTACCCTTTTAGGGATGGTTCGCTTTTATTTGAATATTGGATAAGTGTCAAAGTGTGTGCGGGTGGTGTTCACATACAATAGTTGCATTTCATTCACAGGAATTCCTTTCGAGCATCTGTGATGGGACCTCATAAACGTATAGTAATACCAATTATTGTACAAATACTAAACTTTGCTTGTTGACGTCAGTATTTCAGTCTATGTTTATTCGCACACATTATTGCATTTCTAAGATTAACATAAATTTCAGGATGAACCCCTTCGGTCCCTCCAATTTTTAGGAAACAACAACTTACTCCATGTGCAGTCACTTTCTTGTGTTCCTGATCCAGAGGCTACCTCTTTGTCAGCTGGACATGCCGTGCAGGTAGAAGCTGCGTTTGCTGCTAAACTCCATTGATCTGCCGGACAGGCTTGACAGCCACTTGACTGATCCAGATACTGGCCCGCAACACAATCTTCTGCAAGTATAGTCGAGTTTAGTCAAGTATTTATAGAACTGCAAGTTTCAGCCGCTGGCAAGCAGCTTAAGATTCGAAGTACCCTTTTAGGGATGGTTCGCTTTTATTTGAATATTGGATAAGTGTCAAAGTGTGTGCGGGTGGTGTTCACATACAATAGTTGCATTTCATTCACAGGAATTCCTTTCGAGCATCTGTGATGGGACCTCATAAACGTATAGTAATACCAATTATTGTACAAATACTAAACTTTGCTTGTTGACGTCAGTATTTCAGTCTATGTTTATTCGCACACATTATTGCATTTCTAAGATTAACATAAATTTCAGGATGAACCCCTTCGGTCCCTCCAATTTTTAGGAAACAACAACTTACTCCATGTGCAGTCACTTTCTTGTGTTCCTGATCCAGAGGCTACCTCTTTGTCAGCTGGACATGCCGTGCAGGTAGAAGCTGCGTTTGCTGCTAAACTCCATTGATCTGCCGGACAGGCTTGACAGCCACTTGACTGATCCAGATACTGGCCCGCAACACAATCTTCTGCAAGTATAGTCGAGTTTAGTCAAGTATTTATAGTTGCAAGTTTCAGCCGCTGGCAAGCAGCTTAAGATTCGAAGTACCCTTTTAGGGATGGTTCGCTTTTATTTGAATATTGGATAAGTGTCAAAGTGTGTGCGGGTGGTGTTCACATACAATAGTTGCATTTCATTCACAGGAATTCCTTTCGAGCATCTGTGATGGGACCTCATAAACGTATAGTAATACCAATTATTGTACAAATACTAAACTTTGCTTGTTGACGTCAGTATTTCAGTCTATGTTTATTCGCACACATTATTGCATTTCTAAGATTAACATAAATTTCAGGATGAACCCCTTCGGTCCCTCCAATTTTTAGGAAACAACAACTTACTCCATGTGCAGGCACTTTCTTGTGTTCCTGATCCAGAGGCTACCTCTTTGTCAGCTGGACATGCCGTGCAGGTAGAAGCTGCGTTTGCTGCTAAACTCCATTGATCTGCCGGACAGGCTTGACAGCCACTTGACTGATCCAGATACTGGCCCGCAACACAATCTTCTGCAAGTATAGTCGAGTTTAGTCAAGTATTTATAGACTGCAAGTTTCAGCCGCTGGCAAGCAGCTTAAGATTCGAAGTACCCTTTTAGGGATGGTTCGCTTTTATTTGAATATTGGATAAGTGTCAAAGTGTGTGCGGGTGGTGTTCACATACAATAGTTGCATTTCATTCACAGGAATTCCTTTCGAGCATCTGTGATGGGACCTCATAAACGTATAGTAATACCAATTATTGTACAAATACTAAACTTTGCTTGTTGACGTCAGTATTTCAGTCTATGTTTATTCGCACACATTATTGCATTTCTAAGATTAACATAAATTTCAGGATGAACCCCTTCGGTCCCTCCAATTTTTAGGAAACAACAACTTACTCCATGTGCAGTCACTTTCTTGTGTTCCTGATCCAGAGGCTACCTCTTTGTCAGCTGGACATGCCGTGCAGGTAGAAGCTGCGTTTGCTGCTAAACTCCATTCATCTGCCGGACAGGCTTGACAGCCAGTTGACTGATCCAGAGACTGGCCCGCAGCACAATCTTCTGCAAGTATAGTCGAGTTTAGTCAAGTATTAGTTGCAAGTTTCAGCCGCTGGCAAGCAGCTTAAGATTCGAAGTACCCTTTTAGGGATGGTTCGCTTTTTATTTGAATATTGGATAAGTGTCAAAGTGTGTGCGGGTGGTGTTCACATACAATAGTTGCATTTCATTCACAGGAATTCCTTTCGAGCATCTGTGATGGGACCTCATAAACGTATAGTAATACCAATTATTGTACAAATACTAAACTTTGCTTGTTGACGTCAGTATTTCAGTCTATTATGTTTATTCGCACACATTATTGCATTTCTATTTCTAAGATTAACATAAATTTCAGGATGAACCCCTTCGGTCTCTCCAATTTTTAGGAAACAACAACTTACTCCATGTGCAGGCACTTTGTGATGTTCCTGATCCAGCGGCTACCCCTTTGCCAGCTGGACATGCCGTGCAGGTAGAAGCTGCGTTTGCTGCTAAACTCCATTCATCTGCCGGACAGGGTTGACAGCCAGTTGACTGATCCAGAGACTGGCCCGCAACACAATCTTCTGCAAGTATAGTCGAGTTTAGTCAAGTATTTATAGTTGCAAGTTTCAGCCGCTGGCAAGCAGCTTAAGATTCGAAGTACCCTTTTAGGGATGGTTCGCTTTTATATTTGAATATTGGATAAGTGTCAAAGTGTGTGCGGGTGGTGTTCACATACAATAGTTGCATTTCATTCACAGGAATTCCTTTCGAGCATCTGTGATGGGACCTCATAAACGTATAGTAATACCAATTATTGTACAAATACTAAACTTTGCTTGTTGACGTCAGTATTTCAGTCTATTAATGTTTATTCGCACACATTATTGCATTTCTATTTCTAAGATTAACATAAATTTCAGGATGAACCCCTTCGGTCTCTCCAATTTTTAGGAAACAACAACTTACTCCATGTGCAGGCACTTTGTGATGTTCCTGATCCAGCGGCTACCCCTTTGCCAGCTGGACATGCCGTGCAGGTAGAAGCTGCGTTTGCTGCTAAACTCCATTCATCTGCCGGACAGGGTTGACAGCCAGTTGACTGATCCAGAGACTGGCCCGCAACACAATCTTCTGCAAGTATAGTCGAGTTTAGTCAAGTATTTATAGTTGCAAGTTTCAGCCGCTGGCAAGCAGCTTAAGATTCGAAGTACCCTTTTAGGGATGGTTCGCTTTTATATTTGAATATTGGATAAGTGTCAAAGTGTGTGCGGGTGGTGTTCACATACAATAGTTGCATTTCATTCACAGGAATTCCTTTCGAGCATCTGTGATGGGACCTCATAAACGTATAGTAATACCAATTATTGTACAAATACTAAACTTTGCTTGTTGACGTCAGTATTTCAGTCTATTATGTTTATTCGCACACATTATTGCATTTCTATTTTCTAAGATTAACATAAATTTCAGGATGAACCCCTTCGGTCTCTCCAATTTTTAGGAAACAACAACTTACTCCATGTGCAGGCACTTTGTGATGTTCCTGATCCAGCGGCTGCCCCTTTGCCAGCTGGACATGCCGTGCAGGTAGAAGCTGCGTTTGCTGCTAAACTCCATTCATCTGCCGGACAGGGTTGACAGCCAGTTGACTGATCCAGAGACTGGCCCGCAACACAATCTTCTGCAAGTATAGTCGAGTTTAGTCAAGTATTTATAGTTGCAAGTTTCAGCCGCTGGCAAGCAGCTTAAGATTCGAAGTACCCTTTTAGGGATGGTTCGCTTTTTATATTTGAATATTGGATAAGTGTCAAAGTGTGTGCGGGTGGTGTTCACATACAATAGTTGCATTTCATTCACAGGAATTCCTTTCGAGCATCTGTGATGGGACCTCATAAACGTATAGTAATACCAATTATTGTACAAATACTAAACTTTGCTTGTTGACGTCAGTATTTCAGTCTATTAATGTTTATTCGCACACATTATTGCATTTCTATTTTCTAAGATTAACATAAATTTCAGGATGAACCCCTTCGGTCTCTCCAATTTTTAGGAAACAACAACTTACTCCATGTGCAGGCACTTTGTGATGTTCCTGATCCAGCGGCTACCCCTTTGCCAGCTGGACATGCCGTGCAGGTAGAAGCTGCGTTTGCTGCTAAACTCCATTCATCTGCCGGACAGGGTTGACAGCCAGTTGACTGATCCAGAGACTGGCCCGCAACACAATCTTCTGCAAGTATAGTCGAGTTTAGTCAAGTATTTATAGTTGCAAGTTTCAGCCGCTGGCAAGCAGCTTAAGATTCGAAGTACCCTTTTAGGGATGGTTCGCTTTTTATATTTGAATATTGGAAAAGTGTCAAAGTGTGTGCGGGTGGTGTTCACATACAATAGTTGCATTTCATTCACAGGAATTCCTTTCGAGCATCTGTGATGGGACCTCATAAACGTATAGTAATACCAATTATTGTACAAATACTAAACTTTGCTTGTTGACGTCAGTATTTCAGTCTATTAATGTTTATTCGCACACATTATTGCATTTCTATTTTCTAAGATTAACATAAATTTCAGGATGAACCCCTTCGGTCTCTCCAATTTTTAGGAAACAACAACTTACTCCATGTGCAGGCACTTTGTGATGTTCCTGATCCAGCGGCTACCCCTTTGCCAGCTGGACATGCCGTGCAGGTAGAAGCTGCGTTTGCTGCTAAACTCCATTCATCTGCCGGACAGGGTTGACAGCCAGTTGACTGATCCAGAGACTGGCCCGCAACACAATCTTCTGCAAGTATAGTCGAGTTTAGTCAAGTATTTATACTTTTATAGTTGCAAGTTTCAGCCGCTGGCAAGCAGCTTAAGATTCGAAGTACCCTTTTAGGGATGGTTCGCTTTTATTTGAATATTGGATAAGTGTCAAAGTGTGTGCGGGTGGTGTTCACATACAATAGTTGCATTTCATTCTGGAGGTCCTAGCGTTCACCTTAATGTCCGCTCAAACAAAGTCCGTTCAATTAATGTCCGTCCAAGTTAAAGTCCGTTGAATGTTTTTCAAAAATTTTTCCATTTCGAACTTTTTGTCCAGAATATGACAACTTTTAATTTCAGTCAATTTTAATAGCATGATCACTATCTTGATCTAAATTTGTTTGCCCATAATTAAATCTACGAGGGAAAAACAAAGCAATCACTTTTTTATTCCTAAATATACATTTCCGAAAGACTTTGAGCTTTTGAGGTTATTTTTAACGAGAATAATTGGGTAAATGATTATACGACAAGTAGTATACATAATGGTACTTATACCCCACCTAAAAATGGCGCACCTGTATTTGTGTGTAATTACGTAATTTAACCCTAATTTGTGGTAATTTTTGCTAACCTTAATTGCTAATTGTATACACTAACCCTAATTGGGAGTGTTTACTCCTCATTAACATTTTGCTAATATGGGGAGACCTTACTATCACACTGGGGCTAACCCTAGATGACAATTATGTAGTGTGTGCTGTAACTTGAATGACTGCGTATGTTGCACGAGAAACTATATACAATAGCTATTGTCAGAAGCTTTTAGGCACACCTGTTCATGTTATATAAAGGAGCAAGTGCTGAGGCAGCTTTGTGCACATCTAATTACAACTCTTATATTATGGCTATTAATGGAAAAGTCATTATTTGTAATACGGGAGTATCATGTAAGTGTTAACTTGTGACACACAGAAAGTTTTTTCTTGTTACCTTTTAGCTTTATAATAAGGACTAATGTTGACCTCTGGGAATATTTCTAAGTTGTCAGACCGTGAACTAAGAGAGGAGTTAATATAATAATCTGGGGCTAGTACTGGCACTCCGAGGAAAGTATACGAGGTGCAAATGTTAAACCTTAACTTAGTAAAGTTTGATCTTCTGGATCAGGTTTAAGTCGAAAACTGACTCATGATTGCATCCGTATGAATACTCAGGATGGCAAAGTCACAACACCTGTTGATGTGACAAAGGAATTAATCAGTTTTGATGAGTTGCACTTGAAATATCTTATCGATCAAATTGGAGACAAATCTGACTATCTCATGATACGGCTGGGCATTGTTTGTGTGAGATAATGGTAAGATCGCTTGTAAGCAAAGGGTTCCAGCAAGGCGGGGATTCCCGCTAACTATAACAAAATAAGAGAGTATTCTCTCTAATTCCAAAAATTGAAAAATGACTGTTTGCAATTCAGACTGCTTCAATGTTATTATCATCACTGATAATTATAATAATGAAACCACTAGTACTGAAAAATAAAAGGATTAAATTAGGTGGGAATTCCCACTATATTTAATATAATAGGAGAGCACTCTCTTCGTTTACTTTTTTTTCTAGTTATACTACTGTTTGAATTTACTTGTTATTCTATTTTAATTTTAAATATTATCTTATTACACATTTTGCTACTATCTTTTCTTGCTATCTATTTTTAAATGGTTAACCATACTTTTTTCTTTTTTTTTTTATTTTTGGGGAAAATTTGTCTTCCTCAGCTGGTCGTTACTTTATTTTTTAAATATTCTTATCATTTAAAACTTTGATCAGCTGCAGGGGGTAAATTTGCGTCAAGGTTCTGTAATATGAACCAGTTTTCACAGAAAAAAGACCGTCCGTAGGTGGTGAATAGCCACATCCTTCACGAGGTGACCCCGTTCTCTGCATTTTATTTTACCCTACTTTTTGACTTATATTTTTATTTTCCAATGCAGAGGTTACTAAATACGGCGGATCGGTTATAAAATACTTAGTACTATATAAAGGCTTAAAAACAGACCTCTTATCACAAAACTATTAGCATGAGCGAACTGACTTTTAATGTAACACGAGCCTTGAATGACTCTGTCATTGAATTTAAGGTTAGAGCCCCTGAAACACAGTTCAACGGAACCCCTGAAGAAGGGTTGGAGGTGCTCTTGGGGGGTGTTGACACGATAATAGAGCGCTTCATGCAACGACGGAACTGTTTCAAGTTCCATGTCACTTTGGACGGGGTATTTCAGGTATTTGATTTGCTACTAACAATCTGTTAAAATAGTGATAAGGAAATTTTCAAATCCAAAAGAAGTGGTTTAACAAGGAAAAAAATATAGATAAATAGAAGTTGATATATTTCATTTACAGAAACATATAAACGGTGAAGAGCAGACATTTGGTTTCAAGACACGAGCAACTGTGTGTCTGAGATCATCAAACAAGGATGAGATGATCAATGAAGTTCGAAACAAAATCTTGGATTCATACGAGTCTTTTCAAGGAATGGGTTGGTAAAGTTTTCTAATTTTTATTTCATTAACCTCCAACTACCTTGACCCTAATCAAACCAAGTTGAGTTATGTTACAATTGCAGATACAAAGATTATTACAAATAATCTCAACAGGTAGCGGTTGGATATGGAGACGATGGCAAATGGTTACAGTGCTCGTCATAAAGTACAACCCTGTATCAGGATGATTGATTGAGTGATTGATTAGGGGTCTATATAGGGACCACTATAATGTTGAAAATTGTTGTTTTATATCTTACTAATTTCAATTAACTTTGAGAACTTTCAATAGTTTAAAACCAAAAATCAATAAAAAGAGTGATTGAAATTAAAAAATGTAGATAGAAGACATATTGCATTTAAGTTTGAATTATGACGTGATTTAAGAACATAATTATCCATGTTATATATAACACTCTATATAACATTATATAAACTCTCTTAAATTCTAGAATGTCGACTTACTTGCCAACTCCCAAACTGCTGAAAAAGAGAAGATGTCTGTTGAACATACGGAATAAAGATGACCAATCATTCCTTTATTGTATTGTGGCTGCTTTGAAAAGACCTGATAGAAACCCAACACGACCCGGATTCTATAAGCGTTATGTCAAGAAACTGATCACGACAGGTATATAAATTATCAGTGATGATAATAACATTGAAGCAGTCTGAATTGCAAACAGTCATTTTTCAATTTTTGGAATTAGAGAGAATACTCTCTTATTTTGTTATAGTTAGCGGGAATCCCCGCCTTGCTGGAACCCTTTGCTTACAAGCGATCTTACCATTATCTCACACAAACAATGCCCAGCCGTATCATGAGATAGTCAGATTTGTCTCCAATTTGATCGATAAGATATTTCAAGTGCAACTCATCAAAACTGATTAATTCCTTTGTCACATCAACAGGTGTTGTGACTTTGCCATCCTGAGTATTCATACGGATGCAATCATGAGTCAGTTTTCGACTTAAACCTGATCCAGAAGATCAAACTTTACTAAGTTAAGGTTTAACATTTGCACCTCGTATACTTTCCTCGGAGTGCCAGTACTAGCCCCAGATTATTATATTAACTCCTCTCTTAGTTCACGGTCTGACAACTTAGAAATATCCCCAGAGGTCAACATTAGTCCTTATTATAAAGCTAAAAGGTAACAAGAAAAAACTTTCTGTGTGTCACAAGTTAACACTTACATGATACTCCCGTATTACAAATAATGACTTTTCCATTAATAGCCATAATATAAGAGTTGTAATTAGATGTGCACAAAGCTGCCTCAGCACTTGCTCCTTTATATAACATGAACAGGTGTGCCTAAAAGCTTCTGACAATAGGTATTGTATATAGTTTCTCGTGCAACATACGCAGTCATTCAAGTTACAGCACACACTACATAATTGTCATCTAGGGTTAGCCCCAGTGTGATAGTAAGGTCTCCCCACATTAGCAAAATGTTAATGAGGAGTAAACACTCCCAATTAGGGTTAGTGTATACAATTAGCAATTAAGGTTAGCAAAAATTACCACAAATTAGGGTTAAATTACGTAATTACACACAAATACAGGTGCGCCATTTTTAGGTGGGGTATAAGTACCATTATGTATACTACTACGACAATAATTGTTTTATCGAGAACATCATAGTGTCGTATGTTAACGACGAAAAGGTTCTCCTTGGTCTGCCGGAGGCACAGAAAACTTTTCTAGTATATGATGTTTTCAAGGGTCACTTGACGGAAAAAGTCAACGAAATTATAGAACTCAACAACATAGTTTATGAGCTAGTTCCCGCCAACAAGACTAACTTGTTTCACATTTCAACCTCTAAATATTACGGTAAATCGTGTTGCCAAGGACATTGTCCGACGTTGTTATAGTTCATATTACTCAGGGGAGGTAATGAAACAAATAAGTGCTGGGAAAGCTCCACGTGATGTTAAGGTTAACCTTAAGTTGTCTAATATAAAACTAATTCACGCTGAATGGGTGGTAAAAGTTTACACTGAAATGCAGGACCGAGGTAGTTTGATAAAAAAATGTTTCCAAAAAGCGGGTATTACTGATGCTTTAACTTTAAGCATGGAATATTTAATGCCCGAAAACCCATTTGATGAAGATGATATGTGATATAAGACAATAATCATGTACACATATTTTAACATGTTTACTGATTAAAGACTGCTTTTCTTGCTTTCTGTATGAAAAATGGATTTAAAAATCATTTGCTAAAATTTAAAAAACGTAAAAAAAGATGAAAAAATTCAGATTTTTGATGGTTTTGATTGCCTTCTAGCGTTCATATTAATGTCCGTTCACACTTATGTCCGTTCAAGTAATGTCCGTCCAAATAAGGTCCGATAAGGTAACTTCAAAATTTGGTTTATTTTTAAGATTTTGTAGGGTCTCTAACACTAATACGTTGAAATAAACAAAAATCCAAATAATTTGTATGAACTGCATGCATTGAATTTTTTTATAGATTGTGATTATATAATTTGACCAAAACCCATAATCATGGGTAGAGTGGACCGCTGCCAGTGTCTCTCTTTCCCAAACAAAAGGAAATGATATTAATTTGATTGACCGTTTTCAAATGCAAAATGATACCGAGAATGAAATCGGTCGCTCGCTTTTCCCATTCATTCACGGCTTATACGAATTGCAGGTGTGCCCCCTCGGGCAGAACCACCTGGGGCACACCTGGGGCACACCTGGGGCACATCTCGGGCACATCTCGGGCACATCTCGGGCACATCTTGGGCAAAACCACCCAGGCGGTTCTGCCCGAGGTGTGCCCGAGGTGTGCTTTCTGCCCGAGATGTGCCCGAGATGTGCCCCAGGTGTGCCCGAGTGTGCCCGAGGTGTGCCCCAGATGTGCATCGGCAGATTACCGAGTTACCTAAGATGTGAAGCTGTACTAAAGCGTTTTCTGAAGTTTCATGTATTGTTTCTTTCAATTCGTATAAAGTTTTACTCGATCATAACACGGCAATAAAATTAACCAAACATTTTTCTAATTAATAAACTAACCTAGTACTCTTAGTCCAAGAGAAGAACAAGTGTATATTCCCGGTTGTGGGTCACAAAATGTGTCGCATTGACCATCTGGATAGTAGTTAGATTGGCAGTCTTGACAATCGGATCCCACTTTCTTTCCAACACAGGTCTTCCTTCCGTTAGAATCACAGGTGTAGCTTCCACTGACAGGCTTACAGTATGTGCTACACTGTGACCCGTAGTAGTTTAGTATGCAATCAGCACAGCCTGTGCCAGTGAATCCAGGGTTGCAACTTAACAGTCTGTAGTACACTGTTAACCGTCCACCACCACTACGATAAGTTGTTGAATAACTATGACCAATGATGGTGTTTTCAAATGTGAGAGCCATATTGCTCATGGTTCTAATATGGTCGTCATATTTGACATCCTTGTCCCATACCTCCATGGAGAGATACACATTCAAGTTGGATGGAAGGTCCACTGTTGCTGTGACAGATGGGTAGTATGTTTGGCTATCTTGTGTAAAACTGGTTGAACCTCTGTGGAACAGCACATTACCATTGGAACTTATTTTAACATTTCTAAAAAAGAAATCACAATCAGACCACCCGCCCAACCATGAATAGTCACAATCATCATATGAGTCGTAATACTTGTAGAACTTTATTTCCCCCCTTGCTGCACAATCCACTGTTTCCTGTAAGGAATTGAGCACTGATGTTACTAATGTTATCTAAAGATATATCCAGAGAAACGGTCAAGCTTTTACATCGATTCCATTGGTTGGCCCATAGATAACAGTATTAACACTGTAAAACTGTAAAACTGTCTCTACTTAGCTTATACAATTTTTAGGTAAAGCTATAAACATGAGAGATATTACTGATATAAATGTGACATCAATCGACACAATATACTGAGCCATTGTATTACCCAATGGACAGTGGACACAAAGAAATCCAATGTGTTTAATAAAACTCAGTAATATCTTAGAAGAATTTAAACAATCTTTATACACATACCAATCTTAAAATCAGTGCAGCAGCCAGAAGAAGAAATTTTCTGCCCATTTTTTCTTCGAATGGCCAGAGTTTGACCGCGTCACCACGAGTAACTTTGATTATATTTATAATTTAAGTATATTTTAGTTAAATAAGTGCTTACGATCAAATTGAGATTAACTAAACAGAAAGTGTTTCAACAGCCAACATCAAAAAGTTTCGTGGCAAAACGAGGAACAAAGATCGAAAGTTAGATTTTGCTACAGTTTCTCTGTCGAGAGATGACACCTGTTGAGCGTGATTGTACGATTAGTTTTGATTGAACTGGTGAAAAACGAAATGGCAACGATAACTGAATAGTGAATACTTATAGAGGATTTCATAGACCATATTGAATCTGTAAAAATCATGATTAGTCACCACCGCAGAGGATATTTAAAAACCTTATAATCATATTTGTGACTCGTGATTGGAGTAATTCATCCGTAAATGCTAAATTTCATTCATTCCTTGTCCGACTTATTAAATCGTCTCATCTCATCGGGTAATACCACTCACCTGACCCAGTGATTGTACCAGGCGTACCTCACTCCCTGGCAACAGCAAAACAAACCTATTCAACACCGAGACAGGAGTATTACTCTAATAAATCAAACTAATAATCGAGTTCTTAGAAATCTCGAAAGTTGAATATTTGGTTTTGTTGGATCTGTGCCATGCAAAATGGTCCACAGGAACTCCCTCAGACCAAGCCCAAGCCAATTGAATTATTTACAAATTTAGCAACACGAAATTATCCAAGGGTATGAATACCAAGTTGGAATGACATCAACGACATCCTTACAAAGTTACAACAATACAACTATTACGATTCAAGTGTGGTAGTTATTCAGATGGAAGTTTTGGAGGAGAAGTATGCCAACGACGTGAAGAATAACGGTAGTCTATCGAAGCGTGAGAATTATTTAACGTTTTAATGTAATTTATTAATGTGGTTGAGTTTGTAATATTTATATTATATATAACATGATAATATTAAGTCCTAGTTAATTTGCAGTTCTTCATAGAATTTGGAGTGGAGTTGGGGATGGAATTTGTAATGCACGTAGAAGGGTCGAACTTCTTAGACGTCAATCTCACAAGTGAAATTCTGTACATAATTATAAACTTTAAAAGGTGAAATCATGAACAACTGTTTCAGTTTGGCAAATATCATACGTACAAGCAATAATAACTGGTAACTCGGTAATCTGCCGATGCACATCTGGGGCACACCTCGGGCACACTCGGGCACACCTGGGGCACATCTCGGGCACATCTCGGGCAGAAAGCACACCTCGGGCACACCTCGGGCAGAACCGCCTGGGTGGTTTTGCCCAAGATGTGCCCGAGATATGCCCGAGATGTGCCCGAGATGTGCCCCAGGTGTGCCCCAGGTGTGCCCCAGGTGGTTCTGCCCGAGGTGTGCTTTTTGCCCGAGATGTGCCCGAGATGTGCCCCGGGTGTGCCCAAGTTCTTTTCCCAAGGTTTTCCAATTACCATGCCCGAATTTTGCCCGAGATGTGCCCGAGGTGTGCCCGAGGTGTGCCCCAGGTGGTTCTGCCCAAGGTGTGCCCGAGGTGTGCTTTCTGCCCGAGATGTGCCCGAGGTGTGCCCGAGGTGTGCCCGAGTTTGTGCCCGAGGTGTGCCCGAGGTGTGCCCCAGATGTGCATCGGCAGATTACCGAATTATCCACATAAATTAAATAATAAATAATGTCAACATACACTGAGGAGTACCTAAAGTTGAGGACTGATGACAACCTTGGATTAGTCATATGGGACTAATGGATGAACTATCGGATAAACTAATAACTTAAGGGGGGCACATACCATTCTCCTAAACAGATACTGTGGCCTGGTGATGACGAGCTTGGGATCCTTTCCTTAAATATTAGCTCTATTCAAAAAAATGTAAATCAAATTATCGACGACATTACCATGATTATGCGAAGTATGACATTATCAGCCTTAATGAAACCAATTGCAACATATCTAAAGTCTAAACTCGCAAACGATCTGAATGATTTACTTATCGAAGGTTTTCGTCCTCCAATTTACCAAGCCCCAATCAGAAAATCTTGCAAAGAAGGAGGCCTACTTATGTCAACAAACGGGTATGTAGCTCCTCAGATGATATCGAAAACTTAACTATGCATCAATACCCGAGTTTGTCTAGTGAATTCCTGATCACTAAGATCCGATCATGTAAAATGCTAAATAACACAGTTTTTTTAGTCAATGTTTACAAATCGTGACCTGCAATTCGTGACCTTAATTTACTCATCGGTAAGTTGAATTTCATGACGATCAATAAATTAAATAAACGTGACCTCAGACCTGCAATTCACGACCTTGCAAGCCAATAGCTGTGAACTTGTGAGAGGAATCCTCTTCTTACACAAATCTAATCAAATAAACTCATCAGACTGTTATGTTCACGCTCGGAATTTAGCAACCGGCCAGATATCCGGCTGAATCCGGATATCCGGCTGAATTCAATATCTGGTATGAAAAGTGGAGAAAAGTGGTTTTCAGAAAAACTGAAAAAATTTGTTCTTTTCGGTACTATTTTCGGTTCAAGTCATACTCGATACGTACCTCTCGTATCGAGATTCGAGAGCTCCCGTTTCCGAGCTCGTGTTGCCAAAGGGGAGGCCAGCCTTCCGAGATCGCATTACTAGGGGAAGCCTTGAGTCCAAAATTGTGTATCGAGGGGTGGGTGCGGACTTTGAAAAACCGAAAAAATATTTTTGGTTAATAATGAACAGAGTTATAGTTAATAGTAGTACAGTCAAATCCGTCTTAATTTAAGCCTTTGTCGGACAAAATTCGCAACAAAGCGATTTTAACGGGATATGGTCGGGAAAGGTCCCAGGAATCATTCCAGAGAGTTCCCAAAATTTTCGACTTCATGAAAATCCACAATCACCACTTTTTTTACCACTTTGGTTTTCTGCAAATAAATTTTCAAAATTTTTATAAAAATTAGTTCAATATTTTTTTAAAAATTAGTTCAATATACGTGGAATGTAATTGTGAACATTTGTCACGAAAACATATTTTTGAAACATTTTAAAATTTACTAATTTAATTACTAATTGATTAATATAATATAATTAAATAATTACTTTTGAAAAAGTTGTTCAAAATATTGAAAGTGAAAATGTTCAAAAAATGTATTAAAAATTAAAATTAGTTTATCAGACGTTTTACGTAATTATAAACATTTTTTTATCAGACTATATTTTTGAAATATTTGGAAAAAAATTACTAATAGTAATTATTTAATCAATTAATTAAATAATTTCTTTATTAAAAGTTGTTAAAAAAAGTTGTTCTTCTTTGTTTTCTAAACACAATGCTTTAAACTAGAATCTTCTAGGATATTCAGAACGTGACTTATTTGCGGAAAAGCAAAGTGGTAAAAAGGTGGTAAAAAAGTGGCAATTGTGGATTTGCTGAAGTCGAAAATTTTGGGAACTCTCTGGAATGATTTCTGGTGCCTGTCCCGACCATATCCCGTTAAAATCGCTTTGTTGCGAATTTTGTCCGACAAAAAGACGGATTTGACTGTACTACTATAACTATAGCATGAAACGTGGAGAAAAGTGGTTTTTGGCCCCTTGCACAGATTTTATGTGGCGGCGATGGCCCCCTGGCCCCCTCCCCCCTCTTCCTACACCCCTGTCAAAAACAATTAAAAAACTGCTTGATCAGATACGACAGTTGCACCCAATCGATATATTGAAATCCCTCCAATTATAATAAAAGCAAACTTTATTCAATAAAAAATCGTACGATCATAACGATGGACGCGAAGCTACGGAGAATTAATAGTTAGGTACCTATCTTTACCCTAGCAGAAACTCACAAAGTGAGTTATCGAGGATAATATGCGATTATTCAGGAATATATGCATTCTTCAGAGCGGACTGTAATATATATATAATATAATTGTGGGTGGCACTGGCGTCGTCTGCTTACAGTGCTCAATCGGCAAGCCGAGAGCTAGATACAAAATGAAACGACCGGTTGAGTCAGACAAATGTTTCAATCATGATACAAAACCATGATATCATCAGTGACAACTGAGGTATAGGAACTAAAATCAAAATTACAAAGCTAAAATTTAACATAAACAATCACTCGTGAAACAATACTAGGGGTGGTAGTATTGTTTCACGAGTGATTGTTTATGTTAAATTTTAGCTTTGTAATTTTGATTTTAGTTCCTATACCTCAGTTGTCACTGATGATATCATGGTTTTGTATCATGATTGAAACATTTGTCTGACTCAACCGGTCGTTTCATTTTGTATATATAATATATATATGTAATATAAATATAATACAGGGAACACAGTATTCGTCCGAATTTCATTTTTAGATTTTGCACATTTAATTATATAATGTAATTTTACTCCCTCCAAACGTTTATGGGAATCGTGCAGAAAGCCCAATAACGGTATCCTAGCACCCTGTCACGTGATTAGCGATTAGGTAATCATTGATTACCCAATCAAATCTAGAACCTTCTACGACATTCAGATTCAGAAGTCGTTTTATTAGCGGAGATTCAATGCGGTAAAAAAGTGGGAAATAGTGGCTATTCTTTAAAAATTTCGAGAATTGTACTAGTCCAAAATATTGAAAGTGAAAATGTTCACAAAATTTATTAAAATTAGTTCATCATACGTTTTACGTAATTATAAACATTTTTTATCAGACTATATTTTTGAAATATTTGGAAAAAATTTCTAATAGTAATTATTTAATCGATTAATTAAATAATTTCTTTATTAAAAGTCGTTAAAAAAAGTTTTTCTTCTTTGTTTTCTAACGCACACTGCTTTAAACTAGAATCTTTTTAGATATTCAGAAGTTGACTTATTTGCGGAAAATCAATGTGGTAAAAAGGTGGTAAACAAGACGTGGTAATTGTGGATTTTGCAAACACATTTGAAAAGCACAAGAATAATGCAAAATATTGAGGGGTCCGGTTAAGCTAAGTTAGGGATAATATATAGTGATATATACCCCCGAATGTCTATACTATATGTTATGAACATAAT